GCAGAAATGAATTCAGTGACAGATTGCCTGCTGAGTTCAGTGCAGGGATGACTTCAGCCACACATTTCAGTGGCTGGCATTCCAGAGCTCAGGCAAATGCTGATACCAGGAGCAGCAGGAGCAGGGGGTGTGCAGGGGACAGGACTGCTCATCAAACTCTTCCTTGCTTTAGAACTTGTTTATTACCTCCTCTGTGCCATGCTGCAGGAGACATGGGCAAAGAAAGAAACTAGTGCCAAGCACAGCAACTTTGAGCATCATCTCCTCCTCTGTTCCTGCCATGTTGTACCCCTCTCTCCAGGCATTGTGGCAATTAAAAACTTTCTTATAGACTGGTTGTCACTGTTCAGGGGAAAATATATTGGAACCAGAGAGAGAAAAATTAATTACACCGTTTAATCCAAAACTAGATCTGAAAACTTAGCCATTGAGAGGGATTTCAACAAAGCAGACAGCATAAAATGGGAAGTTATTCCTGCAAGGTGGTGGCACTGGCTGTTCAACAGAAACTGGCACCAATGCTGGCAGGTGTCTGATCAGCACAGGAGCTGGGTGGCTTAGTGGGTCTTAAAGATCATTGTGAGACCAGTGGTCCTAATGCTGATTAACTTACTTGTATTTATTATATAATTAATTATGTTGTGTGTAAAAGCATCAATAGTCATCTTAATTATTTTGTATTTGAATAAAACCCAAGCATGACACTGAGCTAGTAGTAGGATTAATCTGGGCACAGTTTTGACCTGAAGCAGCAGCACGACGCATGTGCAATTAAAGCTATTCAGCTTGGGAGTGCTAATTGCCTCCCCTCTGGTGTGAAGTGTTTTGTCTCTTACAATGCAGTGATTTTACTGATTTTTCCAGTGGCTGTATTGTTAGAAACAATACCCACTTCTGCAATAGAAAAAGTAGATTAAGACTATTAGCATCAACTTCTGTTTCATTTTGTTCACTCTGTACACACAGGAGAAAAATGATGTCAAAACTCCTTTTCTCCTTCTTCTGCACTGCTTGAATTTTAGCTTTACTATCAATCTTTCCACACAAACTTTGTAAATTCTCATCTTTCTTCCCCAGCTCTCTGTTGACAGCTGTCACACTGCAAACCACCACAAGAACCCTCCTGAGCTGAATGAGAACAAGATCTTGTCCATCACTCAGGACTGCTTTCACACCCTCTCATCCTTCCCCCATTTTCTCAGCCCTGTCACTGCAGATTTTACCCCGAGGCAGGCAGTGGCTCCCTTCTGCTCCAGCTTCTGCTGCCACATCTCCTTTCCCTCCCTTTCTCTCCCCTACCCTAAAATCAGAGGGGTGCCTGCAGCACCCCTCTGATGCACTGAGTATTTCTGCCTCCTGACACTCTCCTTTCTATCTGGGTCTAATTTCATCCCCTCCCATGCCAAATTCCAGTTTCTACACTCTTCACAAATGGTTTTCCACACTGTAATCATGGACTGAGTACCAACATCATGGCTGGGAGTGTTCCCAGCTGAAACTCCTTGATATTACTGCTCTGGGGAAACTCTATCCACCTCTATTTCCATCCCAACCTTATCTTACCTTGTCTTCTGGTAAGTACATACAGCAAGACACAAATTTACTCAGATACCTTCACTTGCTCCCAGAATTCAGGGCAGGGAATGATGCCCAGCAGCCTGTTCAGCTCTCCTGTCTGAATTGCAGGTCTCTGTGTTTGAGCTGTTGTGTCCTTTGCACAGATCTTCGTGTTGTGCTCACTCCTGTAAATATCTCTCAAATATCATTTCTATCTCCAGCTGCATTATCACATCCCACTTACACTCGGTTCCTCCAACCTTCAGACACTTCTGCTTACTCAAATCCAGCCCTTAGAGCAGGTCTGTGGGTTGTTCTTCTGGAGCTGGTGTATTTTTTATGTTAAGTGATGGCTAAAAAGTGGCCAGTGGTAAGGCACAAATTAAATAGTGTTTGTATAGGAAGGTGCTCAGGTGTGGGGCTGTGTATTTTAGGCAGGAGCAGACTGGCTCAAGCAGCCATGAAGTTAATTGAGAGTTTCTAAATATGGTCCTGCCTTAGTGACGTTTCAGATTGTTCCCCAACATGCTTCAATAACATGCTTCAATAATTGTGCCATCAGAGAAAAATAATCGACTCTTGGAAGGCAAAATGATGTTGTTATAGGAAAACCAAACCAGCTCTTTTTGCTTTCCTTCCTTGAGACAGATTCCACACAAGTCTCAGGGAACTCTCAAAGTACCTCAGTTCTAGGGGCTCTTTAACACCAAAGCACTAGCTTTGGTTTCCAAGTTTTGTGTATTTCCTGGGTTTTTAATTTACATTTCCATGTAAAAAGATTTTGTGACTTCCCGACTTCTTATGACCACTGATGTGAAGATGCCATGGGAGCAGCCAGTGAAACCCAGGTTGACTTGCAGCCACAAGCAGGGGATTTCTATGTCCCACTGAGTCAGAAAGTCTCAAAGCAGCCTCAGAGACAGAACAAAACATCACTAAATTCTTCATAAATGCTACTTCAGTGAATTGTGATAAACAGCATGTACAGATTGTCAGGACACCAGTCACCTGTAAATGCAGGAGATCCTTAAGTTACATGAAGTCTAAAGAACTGGTGACAACTTTGCTTCTGCACTTCAAGCAAGGAGTCAAATTTCCTTTCTGGCATTGTGAGCTTAAACTCCAACGTGTCACTGAACCAGAAAGGGTGTGAACACTGAGGATTGAGGGAATTACACTTTACTTCCTCCTCCAAGTGTTTGTGTCTTTCTGAAGTAACAAAAGCCATCCATTCCTGTCACTCCTAGAAGGGTTTTTAGAAATCATCCTCATTTGTTAAAGAGACCTTGAACAGCGTCAGGATCCACAAGGAAGACTCACACGTGGGCTCTTGTCCTGATCCAACATTCCTGCTGCAAAATGGGATGTCCAGTGGCATCCACAGTTGTGTGTGACCACACGTGCACAGGGCTCACCAGAAAGATCACAGCCCCGCCTTTGGGCGCTGGCTCGTTCTCAGGGTGTTAACCCAAAGTCTGAAGGGACATGGAGGGATTCCTGGGGTTGTCCTGTGCAGGACCAGGAGCTGGACTCAACAGTCCTGGTGAGCGCCTTCCAGCTCAGCATATTCTGTGGTTCTGTGATGAATTTGGATTTCAGAGCGTGTAGAGCACACAGCTCGTGTCGCCTCACGGTGCCACCGTCCCAGCCCATGGCAACTTTGCCAAAGGGTGTCCCAGTGAGGCTGCCCTGGCCGAGCTGCGATGGGCACAACCCCAGAGCCAGTCCAGCTGGCAGGGACACAGTGGCTCAGCCGGTGCCACCTCCCTGCTCCAGCAGGGCCACCCCAGAGCCCGTGGCACAGGCCTGTGTCCAGACTGCTCTGCAATCAGACCCCAGAGCCTCTCTGGCCTCTGCTCAGGGCTGGCACTGCCCAGGGCAGTTCTGCCTCCTGGGCAGGGGAATTGCTGGGCTCAGGCCCTGCCCTGGCTCTGGTGCCACGGCTGGGCCCCGGAGCAGAGCCCGGGCCTGCTCTGCCCTCCGGCACCCGGGGACAGCCAGGGCGGAGGCCCCTCTCACTGGGGCTCGCGTCCAGGCTGGGCACCCCCAGCTCGCTCGGCCTTTCCTGGGCACGGAGACGCTCCAGGCCCTTCAGCATCCTCGCAGCCCCGGGCAGATGGACACGGCAGGGCCACCGGACACCGGGGCCGGGCCGGTCGCCGCCCTGAGGCGCCGCCGCCGCACGAGCCCCGCGCGCGCTCCCGGGGCCGCCCCGCGGTCACGTGCGCGTCCCCGCGCTCGCGGGCCCCGCCCCGCTCGCGCCCCCGCCCCGGCGGCGGCGGCGGCCCCTCAGGACGGGATGTAGTCCCGGCCGGGGGCGCGGCGGAGGGATCCCCGCGCCGGACCCAGGCGCAGGGCGCGGCGCCTCCTAGCGGGGCCGGGGTAGATCCCGCCGCCGCCGCTGCCGCCGCCGCCTCCGCCGCCATGGCCGCGGCCGGCCCGGTGCGCCCCGCGGGGGCCCCCCAGGGGCGGGGTCGCGTCCCCGCCCGGTGCGGCGGGCGCGGCGGGGCCGGTCCCGCGGGGACCCCCGGGGCTCCCCCGCCCCCCCCCCCGGGGCGCGGCCCCCTCCCCTCCCGCCGGACAATGAGTCCCGTATGCTAATGAGGGTCTGGCGTCACTTCCGCTCTTTCTCGGCCGCCATCTTGGCCCGGGCAGGCTGTGGGCAGCGGGACCCGGCTGTATTGTCTGAGGGGCCCGGGCGCTGCCCCCGCCCGCGCCCCCGCCCCGGCCACCCGGCCCAGTCACCGCCGCCCCCGCCCCCGGGGCCGCTCCGCACCGCCCGCCCCGCACACTGCACCCCCTCCCCCGTCATCTCCCCCTTTGTCTCCCCCGCGCCGCCGGCGGCTCCGCTCCGCCCGCCCGCCCCGGGACCGGGCGGCGCCGGGGAGGGTCCGGCGCCCCCCCGCCCCCCCCGCCCCAGCCCGCCCTCGCTGCGAGGAGAGCCCGCTCAGGTAGGTGCGAGCGCGGGTCCGCGGTGCGACCCGGGCGGGGACAGCGCCCGACCGCCCCCTCCCTCCTTCCCTCCCTCCCGCGGGCATCCCGCGCCGTGCCCGCCGCCCTGCCCGCCGCACCGGGCGTGCGGAGCTGGCAGCGGCCCCTCCCCGCCCGCACACACGTTGAGGAGCCCCGGCGGTGCGGGCACCGCGGCGCTGCTCCCTGCCCGCCGCCGGCCCCGGCCGCCTCCCTTCCCCGCACGGACGCGTCCCGGCAGCCCGAGGGAGCGGGACCGCCAGCCGCCGGCCGCGTCCGGCATCCCTGGGTGCAGCTGCACCGGGCCCCGGCGGCGGAGTTGGTGCTGGAGCGGCGCCGGGGATGCGATGAATGGGAGCAGCCGAGGGGTCCCTGCCCGCGGGAAAAGGCGGGACCCGCCGCTGCCATCCCGAGGCGCAGCTGCGGCACGGAGCGCCGTTACCTCACCCATCCGTGCCCCGGGCTACGCTTACCGACACCCGTTTGCGAGACAAAGGCGGGGGACGCCAAACTCGGAGCTTCGCGGCCGCACCGGGCAGATGCCCCCGTGCCACGCACCCCCTTCCCGGGCGGCTGCGGCCCGGGCGGGGGCTCCGAAGCAAGTGGCAGTGCGTGCGCGGTGCCGGGGTGCCGGCGCACCCCCGGTGCCCCGGCAGCGGCCGCGGGCGTGACGCCGCGGCCCCCCCGAACCGGAGCGCGCCCGGCGGGGCGCTGCGCGGCGGCAGCCGGCAGGGGGCGCCCTGCGCGCCGGGCCCGCCGCGGCGGGGGAGGGGAGCGCTCCGGGGGCACCGGGGCGCGGGCCGGGCTCGGGGCTGGCCCGGCTCTGCGCACGTGGCCGCAGCCCCCGAGAGCGGCGAGCCTCGACCGCGGGGCACAGCCCCGTCACCGCTGGTCTTGGTGGTCCTTGTTCCTTGGGTGTGTTCAAGCCGTTTTGTAGGTGTCAAAGAGGTTTGCGTCCTCTCCTTTTCATTAAGTTAAGGGTTTTTTCCCTAGCTATGTTTCTGTTTATTTTTGCTGGTATTTTCTGTTTCTGTCTGGAGGTGTGAGGTAACGGAGACAGAGGATTCCCGCCTGTCAGGGTAGCGTGGACCGACCTTAGCTGGCTGCTGTGCAGCTCAGCCTTGTGTGCCTCAGCAGTGCTCCCTCCTGCAGGGTCTCCTACTCGGGAAAACTTTCACTTCAGGACTCTGCAAACTCATAATCACAAGCTGTCATCCCTGTAGGTGAGAAAGATGGATCAGTCTGCTTAAGAAACAGAAAAGCCTTTTTTTCCTGCTTTTAGTAACAAACCAAACCAAAGCTTGGTTCCTTTGCAGATGTGCAGTTGCAGATGTTGGGCAGTAATTTGATATCAGCAGATGGACATTACCATGATATGTGCTGAAATCTTAAAAGAGACAACAGACCAGAAACACCCTGTTGTTAAGAGAATTGCACCAGATGCTGATGGGTTGTAACATAATGGTTACCTTTTCTGAAGACTGTCACAGCAAATACTTCCAATTTCAGTCTAAATAGAGATGTCCTTTTTGACACACAACAAATAATTTGTTCTCTAAAATTGATACCAAGCTGGATGTTGTTGCACTATTTTTGGTGGTTAGCTGCCCTTTGCTCAAATTAGCATTATTTCTTAGTTAGCATTCAAGAGTGACTTTTTGGTATCCAGCAGACATGAGATGCTCCCAGGGGATGTCTCTGAGATCATTGAAAACTGATACCGTTTTAGTGCCCCATTACTAAAACTAATTTTTTTTTGTTTTGAATTGAAGTCCATCAGGCAGGTTTGTAGGAGGCATCTCTTTAGGTTACCACTATTTATGCTTCAGGGTGTATTGTCATGAAGAGCCTGCGGTTCACTTGTGTTGGGCTGTGGGAGGTAGGTGCTGTTGGATGTGCAGGGGAAGGTGAAAGGCTCCTCCTTTGCCTGTAGGTGAGACAGACCCAGTGCCACACTTGGGAGTGAAAAGCCTTCACAGGAGAGGAAGACCGAAGAGGAACTCCTGACTGTCTTGGAAAGTTCATGCCCTGCAGTGTTAAGCACCAGCTGCACAAACACAGCGCCCAGGAAGGTGTTTGTGCTCCTCAGGCTGAGAGGAGGAACGTGATGGATTTTCTGTGTGTAGGGCAGAAGGTACCAGTGGTCAGAAGTGCTTGCTGACACTGACACAGAGGTCCCTGTCCTTGCCACAGCGTGTGGGTTAAGTGTAAACTCTCACTTAACTCTTACTTAACTCTCACTTGGTGGTGCTGCCCAGATCCCTGCGCTGTTCTGAGCACCGTGAGCTGTAGGGAAATGCAGGACATGTCTTCTGGGGCAGCTGGGTTGTGCTGCTCACACGCTGCAGGTGAATAATGGCTCATTAGTCCCAGCTCAGCTTTGCCACTCTGTAATAACATAAATACTGAAAGTAAACATTGAAGTTTACAGTGGAATTCCTGGAATACAGAAACATACCAGGATCTTATCAGTAGTCATAAGTTATATGGTCTGAGTGTATATTTTATAGCTTGTTATTAAGACAGCAGCTGATTTGATTGATGCAAAGAAAGAAGTTGAAACAAGTGATTTTATGAAAGAAAAGATGGTGCTCCTGGGTTAATGTGTTTGTTTTAAGGTAGCTGCAAATAACATTTAGCAACTTAATAGGAGATGTGTTGGGGTGCTTTTTGTGGGGTTTTATCTCCAGAAAGGGAAAGTCATCTTTGCTCTACTACTTGAGATGTTTAAGGGAAACAAAATTCTGCTGGGAATGACCAAAGCAGTATCAGACCTGAGAAGGACCAGTTTAAAGACTGTAGGAGAGGTGCCGGGAGAGGCAGGGAACAGCTCTGGGGCTGAGCTGCCCACTGTGTTGTTTCACAGGTGCCATTGGAGCTGCTCTACCTGCATGGGCAAAATGGACACATTTTTAAAAGTCATTAGTGCAGCTGAGTTTGTATATTAATAATGCTACGTTTAGTGGAATTATTTTCTTTAAGATGCATGCACCATGCTGGTTTAAAAACGCAACAGCTGACTATGCTGGCCTGTATCTAAACAAGCATCACACAGTCTTTTTTTTTGGTATATTGAGTCAAGAGCTGCTCTGTGCCCAGATATATATATATGTGTGTGTGTGTGTGTGTAAGGTATGTAAGGTATCGTTCCTATGAACATTATCGTAACAGGATAATTTTTAATGTGGAGATGGTTCTGCTCATAAAAATAAATCTGTTGCTAGTGATGTTTCTTGATAGTGTAAAAGATGGGATGACAATGAAAGGTGCTGCTGTGAGTTTCTGCACTGGAAAAAAAAAGAACCCTTACTGATGTTAATTTAGTTTTAATAAAAATAAATATTGTACCTTTATTGTATGTGAGAGGTTTATTTTGCCTCACCTGGCATATTTGGGAAGAATGCCCTTGCTCTCCTAGGCAAGATGGCCAAATTGGCCTGTTCCTTTTGAGCTTTCAGGAAAAAACTTAAGTCTGGTTTGAAATTCAGATGGGTGTTCCAGATTTGAATAAAGGCTTCTTCCAGAGGGTGTGACTCCTGTTTTTCTACCTGAGGGCCATGTGCCTCAAGGCAAGAACTGCATTGTTCACAGCTTCACTGCAGCTCTGGAGTCAGAAGGCAAACAGGAGCTTGTGTTTAGTGTCTCTGATTTCTCTGTAGTGCTCTTGAATGTGAATGAGGGTTGATGGTTTGGAGTAAGAATGGAGTAAATACCATTTTTTATGCAGTGAGTCACTTTCAGTTACTGCCATTTATATCCTTACTGTTTTTTTCATTTTTTAAGGTGGCATTAGGGATTATTTAGATGAAAACTGAGAGTGGTTGTTGAGTCCAAGGCCTGTGTAGTTGACCTTGTGGACACACCACACCTGCAGATCTTTCATTTAATATCTACTTCTCAAGTACTTTCTAAAGCAATTTACAAGAAACAAAAATAAAGCAACTGCATGAGCAGCTGTTCCCTGAGGGAGCACTCCAACTCCTCCAGTCCTGCAGGTGGAGGAAAGGGCCTGCTCTCAGGCCTGCCTTCGCTTTTGGCTGTTTCTTCCCTGCCCCGGCTCCTCTCCCAGGTCTCAGCCGATGCTTTCTTTCATGCTGTTGTCCCTCTGTGTGCACTGATTTCTGATGGGACTCTGGATCTCAGGGCTTGTGCTCATGCTGCAGCTGGGCCGAGGAAGGTGGTGGTGGTGCAGCTTCATAGCAGCAGCAGTAAGGGGACAAAATGGCTCTGGAAGCCTAAGCAGGCAAGAGGGTGTTTATAATGCTTTTTTCACCTGAATAGTCAAACTCAAGTTTGTGATCTTCTTTTTTGTTTTGTTTCCCCATTGCTGCTGCTGTTGCTATGAAGCCTGTCAAAGGTTCCTGAGGCAGATGGAAGACAGCAGCAGCTGAGGTGGACTAACTGCAATGTAGGCAGGGATTGGAGCCCTTGGGAGCTTAGACAGAAAGGGAGAGGTAAATGTGCAGTGTGAGACTGGTCTGAAGCTCTTGTTTACAGCCTTTCCCCGTGTTGTAATGGCAGCGTTTGTGCCTCGCGTGTGTGAAGTGTAAGGCAAGGGAAAACAAGCGGCTCCAGCCTCCTTCAGTGCCTATTTTTACCCTCGGAAAACTCAGATGCAGCCAGTTGGCGAGATCCCTCCAGTATCTGATGGATCTGCTGTCTGAGACAGCGTGGATTGGCGGGGCTTTGGATGGGCTGGGGAAAGTATTGCTGTGCTCTTTGTGTGCTGGTTTGTGAGCTGCTCTGCGCTCTGGGTGTGAATACCTGAGTGTCTGTGTGTGACTGTGTGTGTGAGTGTGTCTGTGTGTCTGTCTGTGTCTGTCTCTGTGTGTGGGGGAGCTGCCAGGGCAGGGCTGGAGCCGTTTCCTGCTGCCCCAGGGCTTGGCCGGGGCCCAGCACCGCTGTTAGGCCGAGGGAAGGAGCTGCTCTGCCCCAAGCCACTCCTCTGGCTGCATCGGGGCTCTGCTCTGGCTGTTGGCACAGTGCTGCTATCAGGGAACATGACACAGAGGGCAGGGGACCATTTTCACTTGCAGTCTAATCTGGCTGCAGTTTCTCAGTCAGTGTAATCCAATCATAAATTGTGTGTATTGATTATTTGCTTTGTTCTTGCACATTTTACAGCAACTACTGTGCTGCTTTGTTTAATTACACAAATGTTTTTGTGAGCTTTGGATTGAAAATTTTAAGACGATTCTTGATTTAATTTAAATGGTAACTGCTCATTCATTAATCATGCTTCTATTTCCAAAATTATTTTTATTCTGGGATTGTTCATGCTTAGCTACAATCTAGATGAGGATTATTTTGGAATTGTAGAGCATATTCATGCAGCCGTTTTTCCTGATCACTGAAGTGTGGATATCATGGTGTAAGCAAATAATATCCTTTGTGCTTCAATGATCTCCAGTCTGGATTTCAAATTTCTGCAAGATGTGCAGACTTTATTGCATTTCACACCAAAATCTTTTAGAAATGGCCCTGAACAAGCCTGGCTCTCACACTGAGGATGTGTATTGAATATTGATTTAACTGCCCATGTTGTGTGCATATAAACATTTATCTGTGGAGGTCTTGAACAGTCACAAAAGATATTCTCTAAGATGGCAGAAGGTGTGCAAGCCTAATTCTGGAGCTATGAGTGTCTCTGATTCAGGATTTCTTGCGTCCTAGAGAATGAACACGATTTCAAAGTGCTTTTCAGAATGCAACAGAGGTTGCCAGAGTTGATGTGGCCTTTATCATGTGTGTTGAAAAGATCCCTTAGAAAACATTCAACTACGGTTGCCATCATTCCTTAACATACCTCAGCCTACATCATCAAAATCAGAAAATCCACCAGCAGGTCCCAACAGAGCATAGGGAAGCAGATTGTTCATCAGAACAGAAGTAAGGACTTGTGGTTCCCAGAGCAGTGAAAATTTGACCATTTTGTATTTCAGACTGGGGCTTAGAGATGACACAGTGCCTAGGACTCCTCCTGCTGAACCGAAGTTGATGAGGAAACAGTTAATTCCTGCTCAGTTTTGCAGTGAGTGTCCACACCCACCAGATGGAGCTTCGGGCTCCAGTGGAAAATTCCAGAAATTGAGCAAGAATGAGAAGTGTGTGAATGACTTAGGAGATCCCTGTCTGCAGGACTGCAGAGGGTGGTTTTTTAGCCTTTAAATAAAGAATGAATGGAGACTGAGGTGTATCAGCCTTACTGATTCCTTTCGCTACAACTGCCTTCCGTAGTTCTTCCTTGCATGGGAAGTTGGGAGTTCTTAATGCAAGAGTCAAGCTGAGGCTAGGCAGCAAGCCCAAACAAAAAGGTACAAACCAGAGTTTCATAAACCTTTGCTGAAAATTGCCTGTAACCACTGAAACAGGATGTTAAGTGTTTTTAGTCTCAGAATTTCCTCCCAAGGATAAGGTGAGGTTTTCTTTAGTACACGTTTTAAATGAACTTCTCTCCTAAGGCCATGTTTGTGTAGGATGCCCTGAAAAATGGTGTGATATGGCCCTTTTTATTTTGACACAGAACTTGAGACAGGCTTTGGAAGTTGTTGATCTAATCTCTGAAGTGGTTTTTAATATTTTTAAATCCTTGGCTTTTTGGCCAAGGGGCTGTTAACAAACTGCCTGTTTGCCTGTGAGGGAGAGCTGGAGTGTGTCCTGTGCACAGCGTGGCTCAGCTCTTACACTGCTTTGTCCAGGCAGCAGCTTGCAGCTGGGGATTTCCATCAGTTCCATAACCTCAGCTTCAAAGCTGGGCTTTTCAGAGGGTTTGTGTTGATTCCTCTTTCATGTGCCCAGTCCTGTTTTGGGCGCACACTCAGAGCAGGTGCTGCCTCTGCACCCCAGATCCCTGCTGGAGCTGAGCTGTGAGCAGCTGGAGGCCCACCCTGCTCCTGGGCAGGAGCCTCCTGCTCCGGGTGGCCCAGGCTGAGGACCTGCTCTCAGCTGGAAATGTCCCTGTTACAAAACAGGCTCCCTCCGGGATTACAGCGGATTGCAAAAGGAGCCCTCAGTTGTCTGGCATTTCAGATGTGCTGCTGAGCTGCAAATCTCATTACCTGCACAGGAGTGTGAGTGCACAGCCCTCACAAAACTAGGCCAGAAATGCTGAAATAAGGAAAGGGAAGTGTTCCAGGGAAGAAAGTGAAAATGCTCAATGTCAGCCGGTGAGAGGTATGTTGGAAAAGACTCTTCAATCCCTCTCTGTACAGGGAGCAGAAAGAGTTAATTGCAACTCTTCCTTTCAAGGAAGCTCTCAGTAGTCTCTGTTCTCCCAGATTCTCTCTGATACTTCTATTCCTTTTTTCTGATACTTCTATTCCACTTGCTTGCTATTCCCTGAGATAACCCTTGTGCTTCCTGTCTATCACAGTTCCTTGCTCAGCTGTCCAGGAATTGTTAGGTCCCAGAGACAGGCCATCACTGTCCTCATGTGAATATAGAATATTCTACACCATCACACCACAGAGCATCATTTAACCTGCATATACAGAGAGGCAGCTTTTCTGTTGCTGTGGGAACCACAGGTTCATTTTCGTGCGTATTTCCCCTGTATTTTAAGAGATTTCACTCAGTGTTGCACTACCAGCCTTCTCTGCAAATCTGTTTCATGGCTGGCTTTTAGAGCATGCTATGATAGGCAGTTTACTGGGCAATTTGTTAAAGTTTGCTTGTTTCAAAAGCAGTTTGAGTAGGGAAATAAAACACATGGTATCAAGAAACCAAGTCTTGTTTCATCTTGCCCAGGAACACGGAGCTGCTGCCAGCTGTGATCTATGATTCTGTCTTGGGCTGTTAGGTATAAACCAGTAAGTTCTTCAGCTTGAAATACTGGCAAAATACTGGCTAAAGTCAAAGGAGTTTGGATGCCATAAGATAAGAAGTGTGCCAGATGCTTGGGGAGCCTTGTCAGCAGCACAGCACAGGGAAATGATCCTCAGTGTTTGGGAGACCCAGCATGGGATGAAGTACTTCCCTGAGCTCAGTATCATCAGGCTGATGCAGTAATTGGCACTGATGTGCTCTCGAGGCTGATGGGTCCTCACCCAGAAGTGTGTTTGCTGCAGGGAGAGAGTTCATTTGGACTTGCTAGACACATGGGGACACAAAGTCTGCCTTCTGGTCAGACAGTGATGCGTTGTGAAATGAAATAACCCATCATCCTCGTGTGACTCAGGGTATGGGTGATGCTCTTGTTAAATAAAGCACATGCAGTATTCCAGTATTCAGGTTTGCTGCCATGTGAAGTATTTTAATAATGTTATCTTTCTTAATTTCTTAAAATGTTGTAGTGTCTTGTCTTGGAAGTGTACTTGCCAAAGAAATGCACTCTGTACTTCAGGCTATTCTGTCTGAGTAATCAAGAGATTAAAGTCTAACAATTTATACTGCCTTATTCCCTGTCAGAGGAATTATTAATGACTCAACAAGTTTTGCTTTTATAAACTTTAGATTTGGTAGTTTCAGATTTTATGGTTCTAATGTTACCTGTTGTGTTTCCAGTATGTGCAAGACTGACTTTCTATCCGTGGGTGATGTCAGTTGAAGAGGGATCACTTC